TTTGCAGCAATTCGACCATGAAGGCCTGATTCACACAGTCCCATCTGAACAGTTGATGTTGAGATGTGTCTGTGACTTGAACTCTGTGAAGAATTTATTTGGGCTGCAATTTCTGAGGCTGGTAACTCTAATGAACTTATCCTCTGCAGCAGAGGTAACTCTGGGTCTTCCATTCCTGTGGTGGTCCTCATGATAGCCAGTTTCATCATAGCGCTTCATGGTTTTTGCGACTGCACTTGAAGAAACTTTCAAAGTTCTTGAAATGTTCCGTATTGACTGACCTTCATGTCTTATAGTAATGATGGACTGTCGTTTCTCTTTGCTTATTTGAGCTGTTCTTGCCATAATATGGACTTGGTCTTTTACCAAATAGGGCTATCTTCTGTATACCCCCCTACCTTGTCAGAACACAACTGATTGGCTCAAACACATTAAGAAGGAAATAAATTCCACAAATTAACTTTTAAGATGGCACACCTGTTAATTGAAATGCATTCCAGGTGACTACCTCATGAAGCTGGTTGAGAGAATGGCAAGAGTGTGCAAAGCTGTCATCAAGGCAAAGGGTGGCTATTTGAAGGATCTCAAATATAAAATATATTTTGATTTATTTAACACTTTGTTGGTTACTACATGATTCCATATGTGTTATTTCATAGTTTGGATGTCTTCACTATTATTCTACAATGTAAAAAATTGTAAAAATAAAGAAAAACCCTTGAATGAGTAGGTGTGTCCAAACCTTTGACTGGTACTGTATGTACTGTATATGGAAATCCCACTGTATGACTGCACAGATGCAGACTGCAGAAAAAAAAGGTCTTAGCGAGAAATAAGCAAGTTCTGCTTAGACTGCATACCGGTAGACCAAAATAGTGCTGGACTAACTAAATCATTAAACCCAGCCACCCACTCTGACATCTGTGCAGTATAACTATAATTGGCACTTTGTCCAGGTACAATGTGTTTCTTTTTACTGGTGAAAAACAGTGACGTTGGTAAAATCTCCATAGAAGAGCAGCTAGTCCATACATCACCTTCGCCCTCTTTTTAAATATGCATGAGAAGAGCAAGTTCACTGTCGGTGTAGTTTTAGCAGAAAAACACAGCAGTTGATTTTTTCAACACCAGATTTGTGAAACATGTTCAGCAGCTCTCAGCTTTTCCTATTGGATGAGTGGCACTAGTATGGTGTTTTCATGGTTCCATTGGAAATACTGCTTTGTACAGCACTGATGAAGGCATAACGCCGAAACATATGCCCTTTTGTGTTTATTTTGAGCACTACTGTAACCGTTTGTATTCTTTCGAGCATGGATTCAATTAAGTCGATTATTTTTGCATCTCTGCCTCATTATTCCTTTTCATGGTTTGAGTATTTTATTTCACCTTTATTTAACCAGGTAAGCCAGTTGAGAACAAGTTCTCATTTACAACTGCGACCTGGCCAAGATAAAGCAAAGCAGTGTGATAAAAACAACAAACACAGAGTTACATATGGAATAAACAAAACGTACAGTCAATAACACAATAGAAAATCTATATACAGTGTGTGCAAATGTAGTAAGTTATGGAGGTAAGGCAATAAATAGGCCATAGTGCAAAATAATTACAATTTAGTATTAACACTGGAGTGATAGATGTGCAGAAGATTATGTGCAAATAGAGATACTGGGGTGCAAATGAGCAAAATAAATAACAATGTAAATAACAATATGGGGATGAGGTAGTTGGGTGGGCTAATTACAGATGGGCTGTGTACAGGTGCAGTGATCGGTAAGCTGCTCTGACAACTGATGCTTAAAGATAGTGAGGGAGATAAGAGTCTCCAGCTTCAGAGATTTTTGCAGTTCATTCCAGTCATTTTCAGCAGAGAACTGGAAGGAATGGCGGCCAAAAGAGGTGTTGGCTTTGGGGATGACCAGTGAGATATACCTGCTGGAGCGCATACTACGGGTGGGTGTTGCTATGGTGACCAATGAGCTAAGATAAGGCGTGGATTTGCCTAGAAGAGATTTATAGATGACCTGGAGCCAGTGGGTTTGGCGACGAATATGTAGTGAGGGTATGAGTACCTTTTGAACTCTATATATTTCTTCTCCTACGCACCGACCACTTTTCCTTTTAGCCTGAGCGCAAACCCTCATACTGGCTTTCTACATGGGTAATATCAAATAGCTGGTCTTGTAGTATGAATAAAGGCCATTTGTTGTCTAGGGCCTATATTTAAGCAATAAGGTCCTAGGGGATGTGTGGTATATGGCCAATATACCATGGCTAAGGGCTGTTCTTACGCACGACGCAACGCAGAGTGCTTGGATACAGCCCTTAGCCATGATATTGGCAATATACCACAAACCCCTTAGGTGCCTTATTGCTATTATAAACTGGTTACCAATGTAATTAGAGCAGTAAAAATACATGTTTTGTCATACCCATGGTATACGGTCAGATATACCATAGCTTTCAGCCAATCAGCATTCAAGGCTTGAACCACCCAGTTTATAAAAAGGAATATGGAATAGGTCTATTAATGGTTTACAGAACATTTCCCCACAAGAACTACAGGGGTCTACAATATTACATCTGTAAATCTCAGTAACTCTATTCCCCATTTCCCATCTCTCATGTCTTGTTAAGTTATGAATCCATATTCCAGATTGCTCAAGTGGTTAGTGATGTTTAGTGCACTCAGTTTTTTTCCTTGTAAAAACACACCAAAGTGAAAATCAATTTAGCTGGTTTGTTTCACTGTGAAATGGCCGCTCCACAAGATCACAGGCTACTCCCAGGCTGCCCTTTCCCTTTCTTTGACCTGTGAGCTTACAGCCTCGGACCACATGCACACACACAGACTTCAGACAGACCACCATGCTCAGGGCCCTCCCCAGCGGCTGACACCAGACAGGGAGGGGAGCCATGGGCTGGCACAGGGGAGCAGTCTGGTGCTGGGTGGTGGAGGAGGGAGGGCAGAGTGTGGTGTGTTGGGGCTGGTATTCCTCCGACAGAGCAGACAGTGTTCAAAGGCAGCCATGTGCTCTATTGGATCCCTCTGGGGGACAGGAATGATGGCGTTAGAGCTAGGTGCTGTTTGTCTTCATTACCCATAGGCCCTAGATCTCAGGGTCTTACACGCGCACACGGGCATGAACACACTGGCGAGCGCAAACACACACACACTTCCCGTCCCCCTCTGTGTTTACCCTAGCCTTGTTCAACCTTTATGGGACAGCAAAACCGGAGTGACGGCCAACATGACTAATAATCTCAATTACTACAGGCAATTATCTGCAAAAGCTTGTGTGTGTGACGTGTGTGAGTGTGTGAGTGTTTGGACTGGAGTGAGGTGATACATGGAGGGGGAGGGTTCAGAAAGACATGTGCCATGATGCCGCTAGTGTAAAGGTGAGAAAATGAGACTGGGTGTCACTATCCCAGCACCTAACTGGCTGTATGCAGTGGAAACAACATGTTACTGGCTGCGTCTGTGGACAAAGCCGGCAAACTCGGACTGCATTCTAAAATGGGTGTGAAATAGTCTCCTCTGCAAAGCAGCTGGGGTCTACTCCTCCTCATCTCTCTCTCTGTCTCTCCTCCTTTACGCTCTCTCTCAATCTCCATCTACCTTGCTTTATCTTTCTCTCTCTGTCTCTCTCCCTTTACTCTCTCTCGCTCTGTCTCCATCTACCTTGCTTTATCTTTCTCTCTCTGTCTCTCTCCCTTTACTCTCTCTCGCTCTGTCTCCATCTACCTTGCTTTATCTTTCTCTCTCTGTCTCTCTCCCTTTACTCTCTCTCGCTCTGTCTCCATCTACCTTGCTTTATCTCTCTCTCTCTCTCTCTCTCTCTCTCTCTCTCTCTCTGTCTCACTCGCTCTCTAGCAGGCACACATACACAGATAATACTGCGGCTACATACTGCTACAGCAGCACACTGCAGCAGGTAGGCAGCCTTTCACCACTGCAGCCTTTCACCACTGCAGCCTTTCACCACAGTAGGCTTTCACCACTGCAGCCTTTCACCACTGCAGCCTTTCACCACAGTAGGCTTTCACCACTGCAGCCTTTCACCACTGCAGCCTTTCACCACTGCAGCCTTTCACCACAGTAGGCTTTCACCACTGCAGCCTTTCACCACTGCAGCCTTTCACCACAGTAGGCTTTCACCACTGCAGCCTTTCACCACTGCAGCCTTTCACCACTGCAGCCTTTCACCACATTAGGCTTTCACCACATTAGGCTTTCACCACAGTAGGCTTTCACCACAGTAGGCTTTTCTCTTATGACCTTAGGATGAAAAGCAACCCAGGCAGTGACTCAGATGAACCATACTTCCTCTGTTCACATGAACAAGAATGCATATTGTACCTGATGAAGATTTTCTTTGAATCATTCCTTTCTTCCCACCTGTCAAATACGACAGGAAAAGCCCACCCAGGGAGCACAATGCTATACCAAGGCCTATATCTTATCACACACATTCAATACAAGGCCTTCTTCATTCATTCATTTAGACATTCACGTTTTTTGCCATCTTTGTTCGTATCAAGCTTCCTGCCACATTGTTGGCTAAATACAGCAAGACAGGTTTACCTCAGTATTCACCATATTTGCTGCCATTTCTTTATTGATGTCGTCTGGGACAGCCCCTTCCCCAGCCTGTGGGCATATCACCCTGATACACCCTATCTTGCCTCCTGCTGCCTCCCCCCTAGAGCACGGTGGAACTAGGCATGCTGTTGTAACAGAATGAGACTTGTCTATGAGACAGCTAGTATTTACATAGAGTGCGAGACACACACACACAACACACACAACCACACAGCCTTCCTCTTAGCAGCAAATCACTATGACAGTGAATGAAGAACAACAGAAATCATAACATCTCTCTCCACATCTCGACAAAATCCAACACGCCATCTCATTGCTAATCTATGTTCCAGCCAAACACGCAGCAACATGCCAGTATTCCCCCTACTCTGACAGACAGTTAGGCCATGGCTCAGTACTCACTGCTTTGGACATGAACAGTGCTCGTGGAGTTGGAGTTCCCCAGAAGGTTCTCCGCCACACAGGTGTAATTCCCAGAATCCTCCAGCTTGGCTCTGATGATCTGGACCCTGGAGTTCTTCCTATGGCAGAGGGGACACAAACAACTTAGTCAAGGGAACCAAAATGGCATGGAAACATAACCCGTGGCTGGGGACAGAGATATAGAAAGACAACACAACTAGGCTCGAAGCACCTAGCCTAGCAACAGGAACGGGGCCTCAATACAAGCCAGATTTGAGTGGGATAGATACAGTTACTTTCAGCAGGGTAGAATCTGACAGTTATCAAGTGTGTTATAAAAGGGGTCCTTGGTTTTATGATACCTGCTCCTTGTACCAGAAATAAGCACTCACACACCCTCAAAGGGAAGTGGTTATGTTAAAATACATAGCTGAGAGAAGCTATGGACACAGGAGTAATGTAGGCTATAGGAATGTAAAGATTTGCGATATGGAACACGGTGTGTGGAATCTAGGGCCCGGCTTATTCATCAACCCAGTAACCAACTTTGATTTAAAAAGCCCCCTAGTCTTTAAACACTTCTATGCTGCAAATTATACTTTCTGTTATTTCACTAATTAAGGAATTTGCTCATAATCCCCTGGCATAGCACTTTATCATCTAATAAATAATGTTGAAGTCTCTGTGTTGATGTTTCACTTTCAAAAATGCTTTTCATTGTTTGGGTCAGCTGGTAAAAGCATTAGGAGAAAACTACTGAAGGAGAAATGACTGCCTTGCCGTGACTTGTGACATTTGTCTGTTTTGTTAATACTACCACATGCTAAATGTGTTAGGAGCTTCAAGAGATTGTAGATGTACTCACTGGCTGGACTTTATTTTGACCTCTCTGCTTTTCTTGAGCTCACTGCCATCTTTGAACCATTTGTAGGTAGGGCTGGGGTTCCCTGTAGCCTCACATTTGACCATGAGCCTGCTTCCCTCGTCCACCATCAGTGGGTTCCTCATTCGCTTCAACTTTGGGGCAATAGCTAGAAAGAGACAGAGAAAAATAGTTAAAATTATACATTTAGCTACTGATTGGTGTTCACTTTTGAAATGGGTTTAAGACGTGAGAGAGAGAGAGAGAGAGAGAGAGAGAGAGAGAGAGAAGAGGAGAGAGAGAGAGAGAGGAGAGAGAGAGAGAGAGAGGAGAAGAGAGAGAGAGAGAGAGAGAGAGAGAGAGAGAGAGAGAGAGAGAGAGAGATACACAGAAAGACAAAGGAACAAAGACAAACATGTCAGGTCACCAAGAGCTCAGCCATCCATCAACTCTCTCGTATGGCCAGATGAGGTCACCAGAGCCACTGCCAGCTAAGCCTCTACACCATATCTTTAGACAAAGTCAGTATCACTGTCAAACAGCGTACATTTTACATTGTCTTCAATCAAACAGGAGCTAGCTTCAAGTATTCACAACGGAACAAAACACAAAAAAGCTATTTGGATTGATATGCTCCAACGAACACAACAAGAAATAACTTAAACTAATAACAGGACAGGGATGAACTGTTCCCAGCAGGCTCTCAGAATTGCTCTCAGAATGTGGTATGCTCGTAGAAAAAATGCAAGACCCAGTAATCGCTGCTAAGGCCTCTACGATTTCTTTCTCTCTACCTCTCATCTATATTGTGACATTTTTGTAAGCCATAGATTGACAGAAAAATGATTACTAAAGATGTAGCTAGATGTGCAGAAGGAGATGCCACCAAGTTCTTAAATGAACTACTATACAAATGAGGATAAAGTATAAAATTAGCACATACATGTTTGGTAATTACCTTTTATGTACCATTTATCAGGACAGAATGACCATTTTACTACCAATTATAATTACCAAGTATGAAGCTACTTATCTCATGTCCATCAGATAAGTATTACTGTTAGCTACCTTCTATCACTGGGATGACCTCTGTTCTCCATTGAGCAACAGTAACCAACGTTGATTGAAAAGGCTAGGGGGTAATGAAGCCGACTTAGCTGATGAATGCACAACACATGTCCATCAAATGTCCAGGGTTAGACCATAGACCACACTGTCATGTCCAGGGTTAGACCATAGACCACACTGTCATGTCCAGGGTTAGACCATAGACCACACTGTCATGTCCAGGGTTAGACCACACTGTCATGTCCAGGGTTAGACCACACTGTCATGTCCAGGGTTAGATCACACTGTCATGTCCAGGGATAGACCACAGATCACACTGTCATGGCCAGGGTTGGACCACAGATCACACTGTCATTTTCAGGGTTAGACCATAGACCACACTGTCATGGCCAGGGTTAGATTGTAGATCACACTGTCATGGTCTGAGTTAGATCACACTGTCATGGCCAGGGTTAGAACATAGATCACACTGTCATGGCCAGGGTTAGAACATAGATCACACTGTCATGGCCAGGGTTAGAACATAGATCACACTGTCATGGCCAGGGTTAGACCACACTGTCATGTCCAGGGTTAGATCACACTGTCATTTCCAGGGTTAGACCATAGACCACACTGTCATTTCCAGGGTTAGACCATAGACCACACTGTCATGGCCAGGGTTAGACTGTAGATCACACTGTCATGGCCTGAGTTAGATCACACTGTCATGGCCTGGGTTAAATCACACTGTCATGGCCAGGGTTGGACCATAGATCACACTGTCATGTCCAGGGTTAGACCACAGATCACACTGTCATGTCCAGGGTAAGACCATAGACCACACTGTCATGGCCTGGGTTAAATCACTGTGTCATGTCCAGGGTTAGACCATAGACCATACTGTCATGGCCAGGGTTAGAACATAGATCACACTGTCATGGCCTGGGTTAGATCACACTGTCATGGCCTGGGTTAGAACATAGATCACACTGTCATGGCCAGGGTTAGACTGTAGATCACACTGTCATGGCCAGGGTTAGACTGTAGATCACACTGTCATGGCCAGGGTTAGATCACACTGTCATGGCCAGGGTTAAACCACAGATCACACTATCATGTCCAGGGTTAGACCATACACCACACTGTCATGGCCAGGGTTAGACCATACACCACACTGTCATGGCCAGGGTTAGACCACAGACCACACTGTCATGACCAGGGTTAGACCATAGACCACACTGTCATGGCCAGGGTTAGACCATAGACCACACTGTCATGGCCAGGGTTAGACCATAGACCACACTGTCATGGCCTGTCATTTAGTTTACCAGAGACTATAGAGTCGAGCATTAGAAGAGTGCAGAAGGACAGATGCTCGGAGGCTGAGTTAGCTAGGGGCATTTCCATCTAAAAGGACCCATGAGCACCAACATGTGAAGTTCATTGGAGCATTTCAAATTGGGAGTCAAATGAAAGCTAAGAGTTTATATCTTTAAGAAATTAAGGCATATTTACATTTTTCAAGCTTTTTCCATCCTAAAAATTTGGAATAAGCAAAGGCTTTGGTTTCGGGTCAAACAAATGGAAAAGGGGTCTTAGACAACATCTACCAGAAAAAGTGGTAGATGTCTTAAAAAGTAAAGACGACTGCCAAACTAATATCAACACATATTTATTTTGGGAGAAATGTTTTTCCTTCTATAGGTTTTAGAAACATTGCCTTGTGCCTTGTAAATCCGCTACCAAAAACCCACACATCTTTAAGATATTTTCTCATTTCTGTCTCTCATGAGGAGGGAGGATAATGAAAGTTCACAGAATTAACAAGTAAAGGTGGACTGATATCAAGTTTGTTAATTAATTATTAAGTGATTAAATGATTAATTATGTTACCAAATCTGTAATGGAATTATAAATCATAGTAGTTACAAACAACAGTTGGGCCACCTACAGTCCTCCCTTCCACTGGCATACTGTTATGTTCAGCTCATACAGTGCCTTGCAAAAGTATTCATCCCCCTTTGTTGGATTACAACCTGTAATTTAAATGGATTTTTATTTGGATTTCATGTAATGGACATACCCAAAATAGTCCAAATTGGTGAAGTGAAATGAAAAAAATACTTATTTCAAGAAATTCTAAAAAATAAATAACGGATAAGTGGTGCGTGCATATGTATTCACCCCCTTTGCTATGAAGCCTCTAACTAAGATCTGGTGCAACCAATTACAGTGGGGAAAAAAAGTATTTAGTCAGCCACCAATTGTGCAAGTTCTCCCACTTAAAAAGATGAGAGAGGCCTGTAATTTTCATCATAGGTACACGTCAACTATGACAGACAAATTGAGGAAAGAAATCCAGAAAATCACATTGTAGGATTTTTTATGAATTTATTTGCAAATTATGGTGGAAAATAAGATTTTTTTTTCTCATTTTGTGTGTCATAGTTGACGTGTACCTATGATGAAAATTACAGGCCTCTCTCATCTTTTTAAGTGGGAGAACTTGCACAATTGGTGGCTGACTAAATACTTTTTTTTCCCCCACTGTACCTTCAGAAGTCACATAATTAGTTAGATTGCACACAGGTGGACTTTATTTAAGTGTCACATGATCTGTCACATGATCTCAGTAGATACTGTATACACCTGTTCTGAAAGGCCCTAGAGTCTGCAAGACCACTAAGCAAGGGGCACCACCAAGCAAGCGGCACCATGAAGACCAAGGAGCTCGCAAAACAGAAGTACAGATCAGGGTTGGGTTATTTAAAAAAATCTGAAACTTTGAACATCCCACAGAGCACCATTAAATCCATTATTAAAAAATGGAAAGAAGATGGCACCACAACAAACCTGCCAAGAGAGGGCCGCCCACCAAAACTCACGGACCAGGCAAGGAGGGCATTAATCAGAGAGGCAACAAAGACACCAAAGATAACCCTGAAGGAGCTGCAAAGCTCCACAGCGGAGATTGGAGTATCTGTCCATAGGACCACTTTAAGCCGTACACTCCACAGAGCTGGGCTTTACAGAAGAGTGGCCAGATAAGAGCCATTGCTTAAAGAAACAAATAGGCAAACACGTTTGGTGTCCACCAAAAGCCATGTGGGAGACTCCCCAAACATATGGAAGAAGGTACTCTGGTCAGATGAGACTAAAATTGAGCTTTTTGGCCATCAAGGAAAACACTATGTCTGGCGCAAACCCAACACCTCTCATCACCCCGAGAACTCCACCCCCACAGTGAAGCATGGTGGTGGCAGCATCATGCTGTGGGGATGTTTTTCATTGGCAGGGACTGGGAAACTGGTCAGAATTGAAGGAATGATGGATTGCGCTAAATACAGGGAAATTCTTGAGGGAAACCTGTCTCAGTCTTCCAGAGATTTGAAACTGGGACGGAGGTTCACCTTCCAGCAGGACAATGACCGTAAGCATACTGCTAAAGCAACACTCGAGTGGTTTAAGGGGAAACATTTAAATGTCTTGGAATGGCCTAGTCAAAGCCCAGACCTCAATCCAATTGAGAATCTGTGGTATGACGTAAAGATTGCTGTACACCAGCGGAACCCATCCAACTTGAAGGAGCTGGAGCAGTTTTGCCTTGAAGAATGGGCAAAAATACCAGTGGCTAGATGTGCCAAGCTTATAGATACATACCCCAAGAGACTTGCAGCTGTTATTGCTGCAAAAGGTGGCTCTACAAAGTATTGACTTTGGGGGGTGAATAGTTAAAAATATTTTGCATCTTCAAAGTGGTAGGCATGTTGTGTAACTCAAATGATACAAACAATTTTAATTCCAGGTTGTAAGGCAACAAAATAGGAAAAATGCCAAGGGGGGTGAATACTTTCGCAAGCCACTAACTGTTTAATTTCTCTTTCTGTCGTCTGGTGGTCAAAGCAAGACTGTGAAAACAGTCTGGTCAACCCCTCACTCTCCCGCTCTCTGCCACTCTCTCTCTTCTCTCTCTCCAGTTAATGTCACCTCTCCTGGCTCTTACTGCCACCTACAACCCACCCTCTCTCTATTTACTGTAAAAAGCAACCTCACCCACTGAGCACCGACCGACACTGGATATCCATTGAAAAGTAGT